TTCAACATGAAGTTGAACATTCAACATGAAGTTGAACATTCAACATGAAGTTGAACATTCAACATGAAGTTGAACATTCAACATGAAGTTGAACATTCAACATGAAGTTGAACATTCAACATGTAGTTAAACATTCAACATGAACTCACTCATTCAACATGAACTTCATCATTCAACATATAGTTCAACATTCAACATAAACTCAATCATTCACCATGAACGTGATCAGTCAACATAAATCCATCACTCAGCATGAAATTGCGTATTTAGCCTGATCGTGATCATTCAACTTGAACGTGATTGTTCAACACGAACGTGATCGTTCTGTTGACTTTCTTTTCGAAAGTAAAGCAAGAATATTTTGTTGTATTTCATTTGCTATGTTTCTGAAAATTGGGGAGTAGTTGAGAAACTGAAATGAACGCGTTGTCTGATGCGGTTTCTTCATAACGTGATTGAGTTTTGAGGAGGAGCAAAATGCGCTTATGATTATTAACATCGGAACATGGGGCAGCGCACCCCCACTTTTAAACTAAATTTTTGATGAAGTTTTAATTGATACGAGGTGGTTCTTTGTTTTGTTTAAAGGTACACCTAATGAGGAATGTATGATGTGAATTAGACGACTATAGAGTTATTCAAAGTTTAATGAAACACTACTCTGTAAAAAGTGTCAAAATGGGCCCATTTCCCCACCCCTGGGGCAATGGACCCATGGGCTTGGGGCAAGGCGCCCACCCTTAATCCCTTTACCACAATTGCATATTTTTCGTTTAAAATTGATAAAAACGACACTTTACCGTTAAAAATTAGAAAATGTAATAAATATATGACATTCATTCATTTATTTATTAACAACTAAAAAATCATATCATTAACTTGAAAAAAAAAATATACTCTTGGCTTAAAAAATCTATCACTGACGTGAAGAAAAATATTTCATTTACATAAAATATATATCCTTGGCTTGAAAAATATATCCTTGCGATAAAAATTTCGTCCTTGACATGAAAAAATGTATCCTTGACTAGAAAAAATTACATTTAGTAGATCAGAAAAAAAATTTCGTTCCAGTTTCGTCAAAAAACCAGATATTATGTACAGAGAATTCGTACCTAATCGTGATTTCAGCCAACACCATAAAAACTCTCATCAACTTTTGGCTCATTGGCGTTGACTGAAATCAACTTTTGGCAAGGCAAGAGTCAATAACTCGATAAGGGGTCATAAATACACATAACTAGAAACTAAACCTGCTGCCTTGAGGCAGCAAATCAAAAAATAATGCAATATGAAGTGTAATTTGTAATTTATAAAGCTATTCATAGTTTTGAAAAGGTCATTGAGACAAATCGAATGATGTATAACACAAGACTTCACCATGGGCGCTTGGCCCCGTGACACCTATGGGCCCGTTGCCCCACTAGGTATCATTTCAATTTATATCGTGTCAACATTTTATTTTAAAAGCTAATAGTCTAAACTTGATCTCAAAATTATCCCTATAAATATTACTTTCAAAAATAGAATTCACAGTAATTTCAAAAGCTCTATCTACACCACTCTACAGTAATCGAAAACAGTTTTATTTAGGAACAAAAAATTTTTATCTGGGCTAAAACAGTTAACAGTTATATCACTTAGCAAAACGTAAATCCGTACACTTCATCCCAGTGAAACTGTCGACCGGCGGTAGAGAACACGGCCCAATATCTGCCATACTTAGCGAGAAACCCGCTATATGGGCCCATGACCCGCAGTGGGCTCGCTGCCCCATGTTACCCTATAAGCGGTTACCAATAATACTAAATGGAAATTGGGGATTGGTGTCTCAGAAAAAAAACTTTTTATATTCTTCTATTATTTAGATGAGATTAAATACCTATTTAGAACATGTTCATCCTTTAACGATGTTAGGCACCTAAAGGGAAAAGAAAGTTTATTTTAGCATGAGAGATGACATATTTTCTTTTTTGCATGTGTGAAAAATCAGCAAGCAATTGATCATTGATTTAAAACCGTTAATTCAGGAATAGAATTAAAACGGGTTTTTAAATATTAACAGCTATAGAAATTACCCGAATAAAATTAAAATTTAAACATTTTTCTTGATAAAAACTAAAAAAAAATAATAAAATGGAAATTCGTCTTGCTGCTGGTGACGATATAGCCTCAGTAAATTGCGTGTAAGATCGCCTTCGATCGTCTTGTTGCACCAACAGAAGTTTAAATTTGAAAGATCCCTCGACAAAGGCATACCCACAATAAACATCAAAGTCAGTTTAGTTTTCGAAACAGCAGTTAAAAGAGGATACAAACATTTTTAGCACAGAACTTCAAGAAAAGATGTGCGCCCTGAAATGGTGGTTAGAGGCAATATTTTTCCAGGTGGCCGAGTTGTTGGGGTCAGCTCATTGAAGCAGCGAGTAAGGGTTCGAAACCCGCATCTGGTTGTGAAAAATTCTTGTCAAATGAGTGGCCGGCTGGTTAAGAATTCGCAACAAGCGAACATAGCTTAACGCTTAATTTAATTAATTAACACTAATAAAATTATACGAATACGTTTCGTGATTATATGTTAAACACTAAATGAATAAATGATCGTCGCACCGAAACACTCCTGGAAGAGCTCGCTCCTCACACTGCAGATGCCGCTAGGACGCGCCTGTCGCTCCTGCAGCTTCAGGTCGAGCTGCTCCCACAGCAGGATGACTGAACTTCTGGTGGGCGGCGTCCTTGAAACCTGCGGCAGCGACTGTGCTGACATCTTCAAGTATTTTTAATTATTTAACTCTAATTAAATGCTAATGCTGGGATCGCACTAATTTATAGCGCATGTTTGGTAAGGGAGTGTAAATTGTAGAGGACCATGGGGCTAAGTAGCACAACTTATATTGTAGGGTAAGGTAAAGTAGGTAAGGTAAAATTTATCTATAAATTTGCCACGTTTATTAAGCTTAGTAAGAGTATTTTAATGCCGCTCCGCCAATCAGTTCAATCTGAAATTGGAAAAAATATAACTCAGTACTCACTGCAGTGAATGCACTGCGCATTTTCTCGTCGACGAAAACTTGAGGTCACGGACGGACGGGCAGACGGACAGACAGACGGACATGGCGAGCACAATAGTGCATTTTTTCCATAAATGAGAAAATG